TGAAATGAGGGGTTTCTATTTGACCCTCTAAAACCCATTTATACTTGTTTATTATAAAACCTGCTTCTAAACCCTAACCCTAACCCTAAAAAAATGCTAAAAAAATGCACCCCAAAAATTTGTATTTTTCGGTGGCTTGTCTATTTACACTATCCCTCATTTCATTTTAATCTGATTTCATTTTAATCTGCCACATTTATTATGTTTCAGAGAGCACTTCAATAACATTCTTATTTCTTAATATATTAAAAAAAAACAACAGTAATATTATAGAATGTAATTTTTTTTCTAAAGAAACTAAGGATTATTGCGCTTACTCTCCGCCGGTCATGGTACAATCAAGAGTATTTTCATAGCGTTTTACGGCACTGGATTGCATGTGCATTCAACTGTAATTTACCTTCTTTTGTATACATGTTCTTAACCAATCAAACGCTAGCTATATTTTGAGTTATATCTTAAGCATATACTTAGTATAACGATAACCTTTCATTTTTTTCATTTTACGTAAACATGCATAGTAAATAAGGTTATATAATATAGTTTATTGAAGTATGTGTTTTTAAAATGCGTGTTTATTGGTTAATGTACGTATGCACTTGTACAGTAATTTCCAATTTCTATTGATAGTGCCAAGCATCAATGAAATATAGAAATAATGATTTAAAAAATGAGATAATGCTAGTTGATAATGCTAAATGATGAATAAATGATATAAACAAATCTTCTAAACAAATTATTTAAATACATCCGAATCAACACAAATCAAACAAATCAGATTTTAAGAATGAATACGATAAAAACAGCAACACCAATACATTAATAAAATCGGTGCACCCTCACAATCCTCAACCGATGCAGCGGTATAATAAAAATCGCAATGTGAAGTTACCAAATTTATGTCTTCATCGTCACCTTGCAAATAAAATTTTTTAAAATTATCATGCCAGCGATTATTTGATGTTTTACTTTCAGATTCTAATAGATCAAGTATGTGGTTTACTAATTGTGTTGTTTCTAGATTATTTAAAATTGAATCTGAAAGTTTATTCTATATAGATAAAATGTTAGAGAATAGAGAGTATTAGAAAAAAATTCATTTTGTTTGAAAATACTTGCAAGAAATTACAATAAAGAATACCTTTAAATAATTCACAAAATCAAAACCTGAAACCTGCCTATTATAAAATATGTAATCTTCATTAGCACCAACTTGAGCATTTGGTTCATCACAATGATCTGGTTCTGTAGCCGCACCACGCCAATGATATTCCCACTCATTATACCACTGTTTATAACAATATTGTTGGACAAATTCTTCACTCTGTTGAAGGGCCAAATAGACGTCAGGATCAGGTATCACTTGTGAATCTACCAGGTCAGCCGCAGATTTTGTTAAATTATAGATCGTAGATGGAATTGCTCGTTGAATTACAAATGCGATATATTCGCTTGTTGTTTCAAATTTTGTCGACATTATAAAATAGGGATCAGAATCGATTTGAATAGAAACGATATGAAGAATAAATAAATAAAAGGAATTTGGAAATGTCAAAAGAAGAGACATGGTGATATTTATATTTTAATAATTATATTATTTTTAAAACGTAATTTAGATTGGTCCACAGTAAAATTTTTCATTGGTTAGTGCGTTAAATTGACAAGTAAATTAAATCGATTGTTGCTTCAATATTTATTTTTAAAGATTAAATTAAATAACGCAAACCAATCATGAATGATTACCCGATTAAATAATGAAAGTTTGTTTTATTATATGCGCACGATTAATGCGCATGTATGAGCCAATTTTGCTAGCATATACTTGTTCAAGGTTGTTTTTCGAATTTGTACCAAGATTACCGAACATTCTAAAGAATACACGGCAACCAATTAAATCATTAAAACTAATACATTTAGGTATGTGCATTACTATGCTTATAAAAGATATATGCAATTTATTAGTTTCAAAATTTCAAACGGTTAATAATAAATACATTAAATCTCCATTATGTTTGTTTGTGCATGTGAGATCCAAGATTTTTTATTTTATTTTTTAAAAAAAAAGCTTGAAACAAAAAATAAAAAACTTTGAATGATTGAGACAATGAATCCAATACGCTTTGTACAGTAGATAACGATTAACCAATAAATATCCGTAAATGCTCTTATGCGTAAATTCCGAAATATTCATATATATATATTAATTGTTTTGTGTGGTTTATCGATCGTGAATTCTGTCGGATTACGAAGAACCTTTATTCCTATTTAAAGCAATAGCATATACGTATGTGAGCGTACATCAAATAATGTACCGTAAATCAACGTTGATACGTACGTACGTACGTACATGCATTGTTGCCCAATTAAAAATGGCGGAAATGAAAATCTTATAAAATTCTATCGTAGTTTGAATCCAGTAATACATTAATGCATTTACCAAAGATGTTCTAGCATCGATTATATTGTGTAACCACAATCTAAAAATTTTGCTTAATGTCGTCGGTTATAACGTGCTTTCATGCGTGATTGGCCAATTTTTGTAGATTATCTCGTGATATCATAAAAGTTTATCGTTATTGGTTAATCGAAATTTAAATCGACAATTACCATCTAGTATCGCCATGTACGTACGTACGTAATACGGAGCTTAAATTTATTTACCGATGTTTAATAATATGAAATATGGTGACAAGACAATATTTGATTAGTAATGCGTACAATAATAAAATAATAATATTAATAATTTTATATCTAAATTTTTATTTCTTTGAATTTACCGTAATTTGAAAAATGGAGAATAAGCATTTTACGCATCATTGTTCGTTCTGTCGAACTATGAACCCATTTTGCATTTTAAAATAATCAAAAAACATACTTTGAGTGCTTAACCCTCATAAATGAAAGCAGAAAAAGGAAGCGTGAAGGTCAAACTTTAAACAACATTTGCAAGAAAAAAGAAAACGTTATAGAATCTGAAGAGCTTGAAAAACTTATGAATATTGAAGGAGAAAACATTACGCATTTGGTTAACGAATTAGAAAAAAATGATATCGATGAAATTTTTTGCAAGTACATTAACACTTGGGATCGTAAAGTTCTGTGAAAAAGAGACGGCTATTTATATGTTCATAAAAAGTATCGTAATAAACAAATCAAATCCATTTCATTTATCTATTGGTGCAACTGTTACTGTAAGCTTGAGAAGAGAATTAAAAAAAATGATGAAAGTTAACAACGATAGAGAGCCACGAATTGAACATTATAGGAATTTTTGGGTGTTATTTGTATCTCCGGAAATTTCTGTAATTCTCACTGGTATATATTGTATTTATTGTATTTTACTAATATTATGTTTTAGACACTCAATTGTTCTTGAAAAATCTAATAATCTTTTCAAACCAAAATAAATGGCTTCGAAGTATTGAATCAAAATTTCACTTATTCAAAAAATGGTAGACGATATTAAATATTTCGAGCGAGCAAAAAAGCTTCTGAAAAACTTGGAGCGGACGTAATAAGAACACCTTTTACTGATTATACGTGTATTAAAAAAAAAAAAAATTAATTTAGATGCAATACATTTTAAATATTCAAATTGAATGTCGGTTTTGAATTTATAACCATAAATAAATTCTTGAATGAACAATTTGAATAAATAATTTGAATAAATAATTTGAATAATTTGAATAAATAAAACTTCGATTATTTTTTCGAAAATCTTGTATTCTTATGTTAAACACAGATTGAAATTTAAGAAGCGATTGCGTATATGATTTTAGTGGTGATACTAGGTGGGGTTTCAAAAATCGAAATCGGAGTTATCCGTTGATCTACCTCGAACGCTAAGCTACTTAACCAATCGGGTATATGAACTACGCAACGAGTTTATTTAATTAAAAATAAAATTTGATTCAATCATATACAAAGTTTTATATGATCTTTGGATTTAAAAGTGATGATTTGAAGATTAATCGTAAATTTTCATGCAGTTATTTATTAGTTGCTTATCAGTTTTTATATGTTTTAATTTATTATCAGTTTTTTTATATACGTAGTTATTTTATAAGTTCTCAATTAACACAGTATCCTAATTATATATTTTCGCTTATACAAATTCATGTTTATGCCGAGACACTATAAAAATAATTATGTTCATAACTAAATTAATGCTAGCAGATATTTTTACCAAAATCTTGATAACTTTAAACCTAAAACTATAATCCCGTCACAGACAAAATTCCCGACCAACCAAAATTTTATCCCTTATTATTTACAAATTCATATTATGGACAGATTTCTTTATTAGTTGGAATTAAGAAGAATAAGTTTTTTCAAATAAAAGACGACTTAAATTGCCGAGTTTAACTGATTTATTACTGTATTAGGCTCATACTAAACTTGTTTAAACATACCTCTTATCTCACTTCCAAATTACTTCGTGGTTATCAAATTATTTGATAGTTTATAAAACAAGGTATATACTTAAATTTTTGGTCCCAAGTTGTGATGCGAAACTTTATACTAGTATGTAGAACTTATCATCCTCAAATTGAATTTAAAACTCGCTATGCTCTGTTAATCTGCTTAAATGAATTTCTTGTGATCGCATTGTGATGATAAAAGATTTACGATCATACATATTTCATCATTGAATGCTGAAGAAATTAATTCCATGAGACATATTATCATTCCATACTACATTGATTAACTCTATAATCTAAGAAGAGGAATCGCTAATTGATTTGCGTTAAAGAATAAACTTTGTAACCCTTACGAATATTGTTGCAAATATAAAAGTAAGTAATGTGGTTAAAACAGCTGAAGTTCATTAATTGCAATTTTATTACGAAGTAAAAAAAAATATCAGAAACCCTTTGTAAAAATATTATTTTAACTTCCTTAGATCTTAGTCAACAAACATGACTTTAGATAAGACAAGGGATTAATAGATGCCCTTTGTAGAACATTACGCTAACCTCCTTGATCCTGAAAGAGCAAAACGTTAGCAAAAGCTCTTTATAAAAACACCATTTTAACTTTATCAGACCTTCGTAATAAACTTTTAAAGGTGTAAAGGCATTAGCAGATGTTCTGTAAGAACACCGCTTTAATTTAGTTTTACTGGCAATCAACTTATTTTTGGAGGAATAAAAAGCATTTGTAGATTCTTTTTGCAAAAAACATCACTTTAATAATCTAAGGTAGGACCTAGGGATGTTGATTGTTGAACCAAGGTCGGTCATAGGATTGGTATGGAATTGAAATAAATTGTTTCTATACAGTTGTGTCATACCTTAAGGACTCTTAAGAATTGAACCATTAAATCCTAAGACTATAGACTAGACAAAACTGTTAACGTCACTAGTAATATCAATTAAAATCTCAAAGTACATATGAAATGACTTTGTAATTGGCATTTTACAGCAGTCTCTGTTAATATCAACCTCATGGAACCAGATATGCAATGCAAAAGCTATAAACGTTCTGAAACAAATTGTGGATAAAATTTATTTATAACATGAAACACCCAGAACACAGTTGCTAAAAAAATTTAATGCTATTGTAATACATTATTTAATTAGCATAATCAAACATTAGTAAAAGTTTGTCTTTTTTTGTATAAATGAAGTATTTAAGCGCTTGAAAATAACCAATATTTCAATATCTTAAGTTATTAAGCGTGACAATACTGCACGCTACGTTATAACTTATGTACTCTTTCGCAGACATCAAACAATAAATAATAAACATTCGGACTAACTATACAATAGTATGTGTAGTAGGAGATTGATAATATTTACGATTCACAAAGCTAGCAATAAAAAACAAAAAGCTAACTAACATGCCACCAATATATCCAATCGCGTCATTTTGGAAACCAACTAATAACCCTGCCGTTATAATCATTAAGGTAAAATCCCTCTTTTTAATCTCATCATCCCTCTTTTTAGTTTCATCATCCTCCTTTTTAGTATCATTTTTAGTTTCATCATCCTCCTTTTTAGTACCATTTTTAGTTTCATCATCCTTCTTTTTAGTATCATTAACCTCTTTTTTAGACCCATCATTATCAGTGTTTGAGAAATTTCTTGCTGCTGCAGATAGTTCAGCTCCAGATACAAAGAGCATAACACCAAGAACTGATAATGGGAAATAACCTAAAAGACTTGTTAAAGTCCTTCCAAATAATATTCCCACGAGTAATTTGAATAGCCCAAGAAACAAAACGCTAACTTCACTTCTTGCACCAAAACGGTACTGACCAGCCAGCCCACCAGAACCATGACAATATGGAATGGAGCCAAAAAAACATCCAATAATATTCATAAATCCGATGGAGACAGATATTTTTTCAACAGTAACTACATGAGTCCATTTCGGAAATAAATCTTCGGCTAACGCTGCCAGAGCAATGACTGAATTGAGAGCTGTCAATGGGAGTTGACCAAGAGAAGCAGTGAGAAAGCCATTTTTAAATTCTTCTAAAGTAGGGATAACAATAACATCGGGATAATTAAATGATATAGAAGGTAATTTACTCTTATCATTAGATACCGATACTTTTATTATGGCAACAATTAAACCAAAAATGAACAGAATTAATGCAGTTGGTATTCTTCGAGATGAATAAAAAATAAATACAAATATGAAAGCGAGAATAGCCCATTCATAATTATCACTCCATTGCCAAGAACTACCTCCCCAACTCCCACGTTGTCGAACCAAATCGGCAGATTTAATTATAAGTGTTATACCTGCTCCCAATTGAATACCTCTGATTATCGATATTGGAGTCCATTTTCCGACTAATCTAATTGTCCTAGTAATTCCAAGAATAAATATCATAGCACCAACACCAATACCTGCGGACATTACTTCACCTATTGTTAAATGTGCTGAGAGTGCCACCGCTGCGATAGCTGTATATATATATATATATCACATATAATAAACATTAGATATTTTTATACAGTAAAATAATTGTCTATATTCAAGAGAAATAATGTAATTACCTTTCATAGGTTGAACACACATGGGAATTCGAAACATTAAACCACTAATGATATTCCAAAGACCTCCAAATATAAGTGAAGAAGTTAAAGAAATTTGACCATTAATTGAAAGAGATACCAAAATCGGTAACAAGGTGCCTAAATCTCCAAGGCTACCACTTAATTCTGATATTGATACATTTTTTTTGATATATTTTGTTCTTTCTTTGAGAGATGAATATATAGGGAACAAAGGATTATGCCATAAAGAATTATCATGATTTGATTCCGGTGGTTCTCTAACTTCGACTATATCATGAGAAGACATTTCTAAAATTTTATTTCAGAAATGTTAAAATATTTTTGTACGGTTGCTGTTTTAATAAATATGGGGTTTTTTTTTTTAGATTTCAATGTAACGTTACAAAACTTTTATCATTTTTATTTATCGTACGTATCGTTTAAAATGTGTTAATGAATGCATATATGTTTTATTACATAATGTGATAATCTATAAAAAATACGTAGGATATATGCCCATTTTTAAAATTTTGAAATATGAGTTTTTATTAGATTCGTACGTACGTATAAATTTTGACATGATTGACATTTTTCAATTATAAATAAAATTCGATTTGCATAAGAAATCAAGATAATGTAAAAGAATAATTACACGGGGCTGCGTAAGGCCATTATTGAATGTTTGCCAGGTTTGTGCGCAGTCAAAATTCTTTGAAGTTTGTTTATTTTAATTAGAGATTAGGAACGTATATATTTAAATTACTCAAAGAGAAAACTGTTAGTGCGCGAAGAGTAGTTTATATGCAATTTTTCATGAAATGGAACGCCCACAGCAAAAACAGGGGATGGGACTATATACGTAATATACTGTATAGTTCTATCCCCTGCTTTTGCTGTGGGTGTCCCCAAATAAGGATTGATTCGTAGTTCAGATCACATGTTACTTTTAACCAATCCAAGTTGTGAAATTTGATTATCGTAGATTATCGAATAGAAGCTACCAAAATTTTGAGAGTTTTTTCGGACTAAAAAGAGGGAATAGCTTCTATTCGGGTCCAATTTTATTATTAAAACATCCAAATTTTTAATCCAAAATCGAGGGGTAGCTTTTATTCGGGGTAGCTTCTATTCGGTAATATACGGTACTCCTGAAAATCAAATTAGTCAGGAGAAATTTCGTCTGATTGGCTCTACACATAATTTTAAAAAATTCATGGCTTTAATATTACTAGAAAACAAAAGAAACTTCGTATGAAAAAGCCCATAAATTATTAAATATACTATTTCATATACATAGAAGATAGATCAATACACGCAAAGTGGAATAAAGTGGTGTTCATTAACAATAAACCCAAACTCATTAATACAATCTACAATTTATAAATCAAACCTTATTGTAATTGACAGACCACAAGAACAAAACATATTCCAACATTAAACCTGGAGCTTCTTTTACAATAAACCTATTCTTGTTCAAATTCAATAGTTAGTAATAAAATTTTTTGTTTAAATCTAACATAACAAGGCAATTTTAAACAAAAATGTTCCCATTTATCTTCTTTTTCAATATAATTTGAGATTGTCCAATAAACGGTAAGTATATTTGTCTTCTAAACGAAGTTCGCCGGGAGTATGATCTCTTTTTGATTCTTTTGCACAGTGAATATTGATGCCATTCTAAGGTTATGAATGGTTTTTGCGACGATTTTTTGATAGTAAAACGTTGTGTTACCAAAAAGTACTTTAAAATGTAAAAGCTCCCCCGGGCAATTGATTTACATCAACCAATCAGACGAAATTCCTCCTATGACCATATTAGTGCTCCGATCCTATCTTTCCATCCGGATTGAATCCGTATCAGATTAGATCTAAAGCTAACTTTTTGACCAATCTGAGTAAAAATTTCTGATCTGAATATCGATATCTAGAGGTCGGATCGTATGGGCTAATTTTGATTATTGGACTTTTTTTTTTTTTGGTCATTGCAACTGATAAAATCTAATCAAAGATCCCTTAAATTATAATTCTTTGTTAAATACTAGACAGTAAATTGATGTGAATTCAAAAAAATTACATATAAGAACTCGCGTCTTACCGATTACTCCACCCACCCTTCAACCAATTACTTATTCACTAATTAAATCAACAATAAATCACCCACTGTGCATATTTATTTATACTGATCTCGATATGCGATATATCTGTCAAATAAAAATCTAACCACAACCGATCGGAAAATACCCTTTAAATTTTGGGGTACAAACAAAATTAGCGCAGACGTTTAGGATTGGAACACTGTCCCATATAGATTCAGTGTAACGGTACAAAATTTTATCTTTTATCTTATCATTTATCTTTTATCGATATCATTATGATCTGTTTTATTACATAATGTCGATAAATCGACATCCATGATTTATTTACGCATCAAACGCTTTAGTTACATCAACTAACTTTAAATGGAAATTATAAATAAAGCATTTACCTTTATTTGAAAACCTTTAGTTAATAGTGTCAGATTAATTTTTAATCAAGTTACAACACATATTAATATGGAATAGTACGATCTATATGTTTAAAATTTTGTCTTCTAGAATTGTAATTTTACAAGGTTCAAGATATGTTAAGAGAATTTCGAATATAGAAAATATCGGTGTAGCAAATAATCGTATGGCCAATACCATGAAAGACTAAAAATAGAAAAGTGCATAATATACTAAAAAAGCGTATATAGATATGTATAAATAAAATTTTGAATCGGTTATGCTAGTTTGTATACTATTTTATGTAGGCATATGAATTTTTATCGATGACTTGTCC